TTGTAAGATGAAACGTGGCTGGGTCTTTCAGCATTGACAATGATCCCAAACACACTGCCCGGGCAATGAAGGAGTGGCTTCGTAAGAAGCATTTCAAGGTCCTGGAGTGGCCTAGCCAGTCTCCAGATCTCAACCCCATAGAAAATCTTTGGAGGGAGTTGAAAGTCCGTGTTGCCCAGCGACAGCCCCGAAACATCACTGCAACAGTGTGTGAAAACCTTGTGAAGACTTACAGAAAACGTTTGACCTCTGTCATTGCCAACAAAGGGTATATAACAAAGTATTGAGATTAACTTTTGTTATTGACCAAATATTTATTTTCCACCATAATTTGCAAATAAATTCTTTAAAAATCAGACAATGTGATTTTCTGGATTTTTTTTTTCTTCTCATTTTGTCTCTCATAGTTGAGGTATACCTAGGATGAAAATTACAGGCCTCTCATCTTTTTAAGTGGGAGAACTTGCACAATTGGTGGCTGACTAAATACTTTTTTGCAGTGCAGTATAGTATTTCAAAACTATAAGAAAACGCTACATAGTATGTCAAAATGCATTTCTTTCATAAATATTTCCTATAAAAGAAAAACTGTGAATTATGGGAATACATTCATATTGATCTGTGTCATCTGGATGTGCAAATAGCCAGCTGTTTAATAACATTTGAATTAAACATGCATAACATGTACATCTGCTGAGACGTCTCTTTCCCCCCCTTCAGCGTATTGGAAAGCTTTACCCTGGAGACCTGGACCGCCTGCGGAGGATGTCCCTGATAGAGGAAGTGGACGGCAAGAAAATCAACATGGCGCACCTGTGCATTGTGGGATCTCACGCTGTCAACGGAGTGGCCCGCATCCACTCTGAGATCATCAAAGCCACTGTGTAGGAAACATCTCTCCTCTCGTGTTTGTGCCTATGACATTAACGCTAGGAAGCATCCGGTTTATTTGTATCTGACATGACCAGTGGTGCTAGAAGTACCCAAACTCAACTTAAAGGTCCCCTATAATACTCTTTTCAACATTATATTACAGATCTCGGATATATACAAAACATGTCTCTGAAGGATTTGGCTGAAACACCGAACAGATCATTGTAGCATCCCATAATCGCCTCTCTTTCAGCCCTGTTCCAAACGTGCTGATTCTCTGTCTGTAGCTTTAAATGCAAGTGAGCTGCTGCTGGCCACGCCCCTCTCTGAAGTTCAAGTTTCGATCCTAAACTTATACAATGATGTTTTAAAACTAAAAATAAATATTTGAAAAGTTTCTTCAGGTTGAATAATATTTTGGTTCAGTTTAGCATTTGTTTTATACATTTAGGCTACCAGATGTATGCTATTCCAGACTATTTATTGAAGACGACTTACATTTCCTTCCCGTGCGCTGGTGCCAGCCATGTGACCGGCAGGTTTATAAAGAAAGATGCTAAATCAAAATAATATTCAACCTGGAAAAACCTTGGAACATTTATTTATTTTAATACATCATTGCTTTTTAAAAGTTCAGGATCAAAAGTTGAACTTTCAAGTACTTTTACATTTTTTGAATGATCAAAACTTTTGGACCAGATTTTGCTCCATATAAATACTGATGCTAATTGTGATGGAAACTTCTGAAGCAATTGGAAACAGGACTCGGAGAGACACGAGGAGAGCAGGAACTTTGATGGCAAACACTGATGGTTTATTTGGAGTTACGGCCGGAGAATTGACAAGACAGGTTGTGTGTCACGAGTTGACACAGCGGTTGCCAAACCAATTCTGAAGAACTCTTTCTGCACTCGAGGTTTTAACTAGTTCAAAGTGTAATAATCGACATTCTTCATCAGCGAGACTAAACAAATATGGAACCTGAATCTAACCAGAGCTCTCGTCCATAGGAAATAATGTGTGGCAGTGAACCTACGTTCCAGAAAAGAAGGGCCTCTAGATGTCCCAGAACTATCTCATGTCAGCTTGTGCTCTGCCATAGACTGGCAACAACAATGCGCCCAATCTGCCCCTCCTTAAGAGAGATAGCAGCAATACCCAAGGCCGTAGATTTATGTCATGGGAAAAGAGACAGTGAAAGGAGAAAATTATGAACTGTGTCAAAGGTTGAATACCTAAACAAATTATTCCCTAACTGCTAATAAGTGTGTCATTGCTGATCTTCTCCTCAGGTTCAAGGACTTCTACGAGTCAGACCCTGAAAAGTTTCAGAATAAGACCAACGGCATCACTCCGAGACGCTGGCTGGTCATGTGCAACCCCGGCCTGGCTGAGGTCATCGCAGAGGTGTGTGTGTTTCTGTCAATACACACAAGTGAGGGCAGTTATTTCAGGAGTACAGGTTCCTGGAAGTGAAGTCCTGTTTATTTTTTGCATAGACAACAAAGGTGGGGCAGGTAAGTTTGAGAAACCAGCTCGAGATACACTTTTTGTTATATTCCATGGAATGCTCTTAACATCCCGATAGGAATGAATATCTTAAGTGCCTTGACAAAAAATACATTAAAAAATGTCATCTCTGGAAGCGTGGTACTGTAAAAAGCACGACCAATCATCTGAGCCGGCCCGGCTAAAATAACTGGATGGCCTACCTGCCTGTCAGCCTTCCATCTGTGCACAAACTTATCTTCGTGCCTCATTGATCTATGTGCGCCATTCGTGGTGTGTTGAGGGAGGGGCTCTGAAAGAAGTGGCAGATTTTTTCCGGCTGTGTATTTTCAAATTCTAGCGCACTCGAGCTGGTTTCTCCAAAATTACCTACCCCACCTTCAACTAATGGACATTTGGAGCACATCCAAAACTCAGATGTATGTGTTATTTACACTGCAGATTGGCTCTATGGTATCCTGCCAAATAATAATGCTATCATCTTTTTATGTAGAGGATTGGTGAGGAATACATCCGTGACCTGGACCAGCTGAAGACGCTTCTGGAATTTGTGGACGATGACACCTTCATTCGAGATGTTGCCAAAGTCAAACAGGTAAGATAATAATAATAATAATAATAATAATAATACATGGTATTTATATAGCACTTTTCCTTGTGCTAAAATACTCTTTACAAGCAAGTATAGAAAAAATAACAAACAAAATAAATATAAATACTTAGCCAGGTGGAGGAGGGTAGGTGGGTAGAGGATTAGAAGTTGAAGGCAAGAGTGAGAAGGTGAGTTTAGCGGCCTTTTTTTTAATGATGTAAGAGTATAGTAGGTTAAAGTGAGGGTGGTGTCGAGGATGATGCCAAGGTTATTACGCAAGTTGAGGGTTTGAAAATGAAGCCGTGATGTTATGTGAAAAGTCCTGGGTTGTGCGGGTAAGTCAGTTTGAGCCGATGATGATAAGTTCTGATTTGTCGCAGTTGAGTTAAGAAAATAGTTTTGCATCCATATTTTAATGTCAGATGGTGAGTTGGGAGTGTGTGGTTGCACAAATAGATTTTGTTTAGAGGTAGAGCTTGGTGTCATCGGCATAAATGTGGAATTAGAGTTGGTGGTGAAGGAGTCCAAGTGGGATTATGTCGTTGATGAAGAGCAGGGGACCAAGTACAGAGCCCTGTGGGACACCGTGGGTGACTGAGGCGGAAAGTCTGTCGGAGAGATATGATTTAAACCAGGAGAGGGCGAGGAGGAGGAGATGTTTGTGTAACTAAAGAAAAGTGATTCTGTTCCTGTCTTTTGTTTGTTTCTGATCACTCCCTCTGTTTGTCATCAATTTGTAGGAGAACAAGTTGAAGTTTTCTGCCTATCTTGAAGAGCACTACAAGGTGAAGATCAACCCCAACTCCATGTTTGATGTTCAGGTGAAGAGGATCCACGAGTACAAGAGACAGCTGCTCAACTGCCTGCACATCATCACGCTGTACAACCGTGGGTGCTTTTTACTTTAGCTTGCCACTTATTGTAAATAAACTTGGATTCAGAGGTAAAACAAAAGCTTTTGTTTTTTTATCAGGAATCAAGAAGGATCCCAAGAAGTCATGGACCCCCAGGACTATCATGATTGGAGGAAAGGTGAGAGGTGTTAAAGGTGGTACATTGCATTTGTTTTCTATTTTTAGACCATGGATGGATAACTGGTCTACTAGGCACAGGCCAAAGTGACCATAAAAAGTCCACAAAGAAACATAAAACTAAAACAAAGAGACAAAACAACTGCACGAGACACAACATGTCTTTTTAATAGACGCAAAAGGACTCTATAGGTGGTTAAAACCAAGTACAAAAATGGGCAAGTTAGAATCAAACATATTTTATGTCTCCAGAATTATTTAAAGTTTTGAAATATCATCTCAAATTTATTTTGCATTTTGGACAAGATCCCATATGAAACAAGACATTTCTCATCAATATACAGGTGTGTTCGTACATTTGGATGTTGTAATAATGATTTGATAGTCTTTATCTGAAACGGGCATAGCCAGTCTTGGTTCATAATTGCTTCGTTCCGTAAGTTTCTTCACCAATTGTGTCTCAATAAGACACATTTTACAATATGCACACACACCAAGCATTCTCTTAAAACAGTTTTTGGATTAGTCATACATTTAGTGTAATGTGGACTGATCATTATAGAGAAATGACTGAATTTAAATGTAGTTTTAGCTGCTAAATGTGTTGCTGTTATCATCTACTAATGAGACTTAATCATACTTATAATGCTAAATATTCAGCAAAACAAACAGATCATTTCTCCTCCCCACCCTGAAAATATCGTTGATACATGGAGTATACTTCAGCCTGGTTTTATTCAGTGTTTCTGAAGATGATCTGCTGTGTGTCCAGGCAGCTCCAGGTTACCACACTGCTAAGATGATCATCAAGCTGATCACATCCATCGGAGACATTGTGAATAACGACCCTGTGGTGGGAGATCTCCTCAAAGTCATCTACCTGGAGAACTACCGCGTCACTCTGGCTGAGAAGGGTAACAAATACTTACTTCACCATCTTACTTGGAGATTTTTTTGTAAAATGTTAAGAGCTTAGAGCGGGGGTGTCAAACATATGGGATGACTTAGCAAAGTGTACAAATTACAGAAATGAAGTGCAATTTTCACAACTTTCATATATTTTGCATGTGTTCATGTTATACATCTACAAGGCAGGGAGATAACCAAACCTTCTTCCTTAATAGTTCCCACTGTAGTTTGTATGGTGGTGTGTCAGCATTACTACGCAGATACTTTTAATATAATTTCTATAAAGTAAAATACTGTTCAGTTCCAGATACCGGTGACTAAATGTTTCTGTAGAGACACTATGATCTGTGAGTTGTAATGCACATGTGTAAATGATAAACTGAGGCCTAATATGGTTGAATTTGCACTTATTTTTCTTGGTTTGTAAAACTATCGTTCATTAAATGTGAACATTTTCACAATGTACTTTTTTGCACTCAAACAAAGGGAACAATGTGGAGATGTGGTTACTTAGAGGTTATTATGCGATGATCTTACTGCTCCGGCCCATTTGAGATCAAATTGGGCTGTATGTGGCCCCTGAACTAAAATGAGTCTTTACTGTAGTAGAACTTAGAGAGTAAAAGTGGAATTTCAAACCTCCTGTGTGCAGTCATCCCAGCGTCCGACCTGTCGGAGCAGATCTCCACAGCCGGCACCGAGGCCTCTGGCACCGGGAACATGAAGTTCATGCTGAACGGGGCTCTCACCATCGGCACCATGGATGGAGCCAACGTGGAGATGGCAGAGGAAGCCGGAGAGGAGAACCTCTTCATCTTCGGCATGAGGGTGGCAGATGTGGAGGCCATGGACAAGATTGGGTGAGCTTTCAACCAAAAAATATGAATGCTGGACCTGCACATTTTATAACGGTATTAAAATGTATTTATCTTTGTCTGTCTTTGAAACGCACTTAAAACAACACTTGTTAAGCAAATGGAATGGCTGTGTACAAGTTGACTTTCCTCTGAAAAACCGTATGTTTTTGGGTTGCAATATTTCGGTAGCAATACGTGAACTCTCAATTCTATATGTATTAATGATTATGTTGTTCATATTTTATGTTTGTATTGTCTGGGCCCCTGTTCTCAAGCTTCCTATAGCTTATTGGGGTGTCCTGTTTCACATGAGTCCTTTATGTCTCATGATTGTACCTGTATTTTTATTTAAAAAACGTCCAAATGTGCCCATGATGTGAGGAATATCTTTTCTCCACAGTTATGACGCTGCGTCGTACTACAACCGTCTCCCCGAGCTGAAGCAGGCCATGGACCAGATCTCCGGGGGCTTCTTTAGCCCCGGCCAGCCTGACCTTTTCAGAGACCTGGTCAACATGCTGATGCAGCACGACAGGTGGGAGGCCACTGCTGACACTGACGACTCAGCACTTTGTCTGTGCTGACACATGGGCTACCTGTCAGCCCACAGCCATTCATTGAGTCATCAATGTATCACTGTCACTGCCTCATGAGAGGGAAGGAGGTGTTGGATTTGACTCTGTGAAGCAAGTCATCATCATCTCCTAAAGTCAACTGGCTCTCATTAATGCAAAGGCCCTATAAGACTGATTTAAAACCGTGTTGTTCCCGTCATTAAAGAGATGGTTTTAAGTGGGGCTATGTGAGATGCTTATCTCATAGTTAGAGTAATAACAAAACCTCTAAACTATCCCTTTTAATGTCTCAAATAAACAAAGTATTAATTCTGACCCTAACCCTAACCCTTTGCAGGTTCAAGGTGTTTGCAGACTATGAAGCCTACATCAAAACTCAAGACAGAGTCAGCACTCTCTTCAAGGTCAGTGTGTCAGCAAGAGGAAATCAGGATGAGATCAAGTCTAAATGTATTTGTTCTTAAGTAGCAAAAATAATCTTGTCAGTACTGCATTCACCTTTTATGAACATAACATTTGTTTCTGCTTTACTTCCATATTATATATTCCATCTTCAATGCTTTACTGCAGCATATTGTACTTGTATACTGCCATCTGATTCATATTCTATGTGAAACTGAACCATTATATATGTTGAGGACACGATCATACTTTTACAACTACTGTGTCATTCAACCTGCAGTGCCACAGAACAGTATATCAGAATAAAACACAATATATTGCACACATTTATAAAACAAAAAAATACAATTAGCTAACTATACACATTATTATGATATTACATTTGAATTTGAAAGCAATAATAATAAATGATAACATACCGTATTGTATTATCCTCTAGCCTTAGTGTATTCAAAGTAAGAGTTACCTTGTTCTATATTATTTTGTACTAAACTACCCTACTATTTCTCAGGATTTAAATGAGGTATATCTTATTTGAAATCTCTACCTTTACTCTTTCAGGACCCTAAAGCGTGGACCAAGATGGTGATCCATAACATCGCGGGCTGTGGAAAATTCTCCAGCGACCGCACCATTTCCCAGTATGCCCGTGAGATCTGGGGCATGGAGCCCAGCCTGGAGAAGATTGCCGCCCCCGACGACCCCCGCTAAACCTCAGCAGCCCCCTCCTCCTGTAGCTCACTGCGGTCCAAGCACTGGAGAAAACCCCTGTAGCTTTTCACTTGTGGCATTATTTCCTTACATTATCGTCCCATAAATAACCGCTATCACTCCCAGTTGATCTTGTTTTGAAGTGGGTTTTTTCCATCTGTATTTTCTCTTTGTATCAGCAATGCATATTGTCACTGTTGGGTAAAGTAACCTTTATCTCTATATAAGCCTATCAGCCAGATTACATCATGGGATTTTTCTCGGGCACTGTAACAAAAATATTAATGATTTTGCTCCAACAATCCTCCCATTATCCAAAATCTCCAACTAATGTTTGGAAATAGGTCAAAACATCAAGAGCTGAGACCTTTAGAATGCTTTAACAAATACTGGGATTAGGTCTTTAACCAAACAGTGATTTTAACCTTTATTCTAGCTACATATTTTTCTACTTTGATCTGAACAAACCACTGTTATGCTTTCAAACCAGCAAATGTCTTCCACCATGACGGAGAGAAGTGACACTTAGGGGTTAATGAAGGGACCTGTGACAGGGTGGTGTTGGAAGGAAGCCTGGTCTCAATTTTACCGCAGATTAACATCATTATTATTATATTCAAAGACTCCGTCCGGTTATGTTTCATGGTGTTTGTTGAATATATCTGTGTATCTATCCGTCCTGTGTCTCAGCATGTTTATGTCTGTTTCTTCCTAAAAGTGTTAGAAATTAACAAAGCCTTCTCTGCCTAAAATCTAAGTGACTGAATTAATCTTGAAAATGTGTGTGCTCTGTAATATACTGTAGTTGTGTATGTGTATATGTATACCATACTTTAGTCCAAGACACTGTGGGTATCGGCTCCATTGATGTACTGTAACAGCATATATTCCTGCTCAAGCTACTGCATAATAAGCTGTGGTGCTGTAGACTGCAGAAAGCCCATAAACCTAATATTTCACTAGAAAACCATGCTTTTCTTTTCTTTTTGTCAATAAATGACAAAACTATCAACAGCTCAGACGTTTCGTTTCATTTTAATACTCAATGTTGACACATCAAAATAAGATTCTGAATCAGAAATCCTTTTAGTCTGCAGTGGGGGTAAAGCGTTACTTCACAAGTGACAGATAAAAGGCAACAAAAAAGAGTAAGCTAACATAGAAAATAAATCCGTGTATCTACTGTCCAATTGTTTTTCTTTGTTAAACACGTAAACGGAAGAGCGTCTGAGAGGCCTTTTTGCTTTTTACCTTACTAAATGGTCAAATGATCCTTGGAGCGAGGGGCGGGCCGAAACTCACGGAAGTGATTTCAAAACAAAAGCACTCGTTTGGTAAAATCACACTTTTAATCACTACAGAATCCTGCTGAAGGAACGGTGNCCTCTTCTGGATCATCTAAATGCTCTCTAGCAAACTTCAGACGGGCCTGGACATGTACTGGCTTAAGCAGGGGGACACGTCTGGCACTGCAGGATTTGAGCTCAAATCCTGCAGTGCCAGACGTGTCCCCCTGCTTAAGCCAGTACATGTCCAGGCCCGTCTGAAGTTTGCTAGAGAGCATTTAGATGATCCAGAAGAGGATTGGGAGAATGTTATATTGTCAGATGAAACCAAAATAGGACTTTTTGGTAAAAACTCAACTAGACGTTTTTGGAGGAGAAAGAATGCTGAGTTGCATCCAAAGAACACATTGGGGGGGAAACATCATGCTTTGGGGCTGTTTTTCTGCAAAGGGACCAGGACGACTGATCCGTGTCAAGGAAAGAATGAATGGGGCCATGTATTGTGANAGAAGAAACGATTCAAATATTTTAATTATACTATTCCTTCTTGACTCTTCAATCCAGCCTTGAAGTAACAAATGCATGGAATAGTTTCTCTGCATTATTGGAAGAGTCAAGAAGGAATAGTATAATTAAAATATTTGAATCGTTTCTTCTATTTTCCTCACCTGTTGTTTTTTAACTACTGGTTAATTTTTCACAGTTTAAAAAATGTCAGGTTTCATTTAAATATAAAGAACATTAGTTGTAAATTGCGGAAAGTGTTGCAGTAATGATTTAAATCAATCAAAAAATAATTATGAGTGACATGGGGGATGATTTGGGGGAAACTTCTGTGTAACAATGCAAGAGGAGTCCCCGACTCAAAAGGAGACACGGGGAGGGCTGGAGCTTTGATGT